CGTCGTCGTCGACGCGTACTCACGACACACACACACTCACACACACACACACACACACACACACACACACACACACACACACACACACACACACACACACACACACACACACACACACACACACACACTTTTAAACTCAACCAAAACATCACTCAGTGCGATGCGTGCTCGTTCTGTTTTACCAGCAGAACTTTGTGTTATGGGGTCAGATGTTATGTGTTTATGTTGTTGTCCCATGTTTCACCAGTAAGCGTTACAGCTCTCTGTGTAGTTGTGTGAATTTGAGCACCGTCACCTTGTGGAGCTGCACGCCGACGGAGTGATCCCTCGCAGTCCCTCGCCCACCCGGGATCTTTAATTGTGGGTGAGGGGCATCAGGAGCACCACTGAGGCCCCGGAGACTGAGGGATTGAGCTGGAAAGCCGAGACCCCGATAACCAGGAACTGTGGAAAGAAGAGGAATTGGTCAGGATTTCTTCAAAATATCTTTCTGCACACATCAAATGTTTTCGACTATCTGCAGCTGCAACATCCCTATCCCCTAATAGTGACAACGCAACACTGGCAAGATGAAGTATTGTTTGTTTATGTGTGTAACTAACTTCATCTGAACACAATAGTCCGTTATGCTGTATGATTGACCGCATGTCATGGAGTGTAATAAGGTATCCGTAGACCTTTCTATGAGACAACCTAACAGCTCTTCAGCCATGGTACGTACATACTTCTAGATGCAGGCTTACATACACATACTACTCAGTGTCACTCGGTGTGTTTACAAGGAAATGAAACTCAAACACAAACTCCACAGGGCGTCTGATGCTGTCATACTCTCACTCAGATACTTATGTTAGGCTCTGAGTGTGTTGCCTCACTAACACTCAGCCCCTCTTCATTAAGCACTTCCCTGTAATTAGCCAACACAAAGCACCTGTGGCAACAACATGCTCCACCAATGACGTGTCAGGGACAGCCAGAAGGATTGAATATGTTTATACTGCTTTGTTTCCTAAGAATCCAACAATTATCTATTCAAAATACGAAGAATCCTGGCTTTGACATAATAAATTCCTCTAGTGTGACTTTAGTCCTAGAATCAATATGGCGTCAGACAGAGACCAGACAAGTCTCTAATCAGAAGGAACTCTAACTCTTTGGCCTTAAACATGAGACGCGGTGCTCCAAGTAGTCTAGTCAGGTTGGTTAAATATAGATTTTGGCCTTTTACTCCCACCCTGTGACCACAATTCAAATAAATCATAAAACACGAAGCAAGAACTAGCATGTGATGTGGGCGGACCCCGACAAGCTTCAGTCTATTGGCTCCATCACTGGGCTGACTGTTTAAGGGCCTATGATTTATTGACTGCATTCAAAGAGTTCCTGATGCCTTGTGTGTGTGTGACCTGTAAGGCATGCATCACAACAAGCACATGATCTGTAAACACCTCTGCAAATAGCTGGAGAGGCTTTTGGGAACACTCATCTCTGGCGTTTTGAGTTACAGTCGTGCTACTCAAACCAGACATGATGGCAGAAGGCCGACGCTGCCTGGACATAAGGGCTGTGGATGCTCACTTAGTTTTGTCAAATGTTGGCCTTTCAGATAATAAATAGCTTTCCCAGAATGCCTTAGTTGACCCTGAGAGATTCTCGCACCTAAAGCTAACAATTATGATGTACAATCTTCTGTTCGAAGTTCATGAGCCGCACCGACTTGTTTTTGAGTAAATATACAGATATGATCCGTGACACAGTAAAACATCAGATGCATGGGACTTTGTTTATGTGAAAAGGAAAGAGCTGTGCACCCAGTTTCCCTGCAGAGCAGACAGGTAACCCGGACAACCTGATCTGCATAGCTACGAGCCAACAAGGTGGAGCAATGGAAAACAAAAGGTCATTATGCCACCATGCTCACTCTGCAGGAGAAACGGTGCACACCTTTTCCCTGTTTCATAATTTCTTGGTCTTGACTTTGAAAACAACAATGTTGACTTTCAAACGACCTGAACAGTTCAGTTCAGAAATACCTTGACACATTTTCATTTTTTTCTAAGTTTTATGGAATGATTTACTTGTTTGTTTTTTGAGGTAATGAGTGGGGATGCAATATTATGTGAGGACATCCGTTTTATTTATCAATTGCTTGCTTTATTTAATTTATGTATTATGCCTTTTATTTTAATGTAAAGAATAACGTATTTTTATTATTTATTGGTTTTGTTGTTTGGAAAAAATGAAACTTTGTAACATGTTGAAATGCTTAAAGTGGACCTATCATGCTATTTGTAGGCAATAGCATAGGTCTCAGATATAAACAAATATATAAAAAACATGTCTATGAAGTGTTTTGCTCAAAATACCAAACAGATCACCCATTCTAGCCATGCCTCATATCCCTCTATTTCACTTCCTGTTTCAAAAGTGCTGATTTGGGGTATAAAGTCATAAAAATTGATTAAAAAAAAAAGAAAAGGGGGCTGAGCTCATGCGGGACCCGGCAGCTACTATCTAAACTAAATACTGCCGTGATGAAACGCTATATCATGGATTATCAAGGATTATTTCTGAAACAGTATGGAGCTCAAAGGCTTTCTCTCTTGCCGGTTATTTCCTTTTTATTTCCTGCTTCTTCACACACATGCTCTCCAGTACAGGTTAGCTCTGAGTGTTAGCGATGCTAATGTAAACACCGACCATATTACGTCCAAAACAGTCGGGCATTGTTTCCCCGTTTTTAGAGATTTGGGTACGGAGGAACCGACAGGAGGAGGACTAAGACCACCTCAACGGGTTATCGGGCATCGCGGGTGAAGACACTGCAGTCTCTTCACCAAGTTGTAGACATTAACACAGACGCGTGCCACATGGCTATTGAACTTTTCCATGTGCGGCTATGGCGACGGCAATATTTTGCAATGCTTAAGAGGCAAGTTAATCAAAGATCTATATGTAATTCTTACTTCCCCTCTTTCATGAGGCCACTCTTTCGCGGCAAAATTATTCGTCGAGCACACACAAGTCGCGACGACGACGAGTGTGGTACGGTGACGTCGGCACGGACGCGTCAGGGCGGGGAGAGTTCGTGCGAGATTCAGGGAGGGGTAGAGAGTAACGGCGTGCGCGATCGACGGTCTCGTACCACTCTTTCGCTCTGTCGGACCGGACGTTACCCGTCAACGGCCGACGGCGGAGCCGACGACTGTTTGTTTCTGCGGTCTCTCGCTTTTTACAACCATAGCACTGTTGTGAGTCAGACATAGTCAGGCGACGTCGGGAAAAATTCTGCTAAACCCATACCTCCCTTTATCTGCTCCCAACACGAAAAGACTGTTGAACCACTCAAGGGACCTTGTGGCCCTGTGTATTAAGTACAAAGTTTTTCTCATTTTTCACGTAAAGACGTACTAATCCAGGGAAATTCAATACATTCATGTAAGCACATTGAGTTCATGGACGTGGGATATTACAATTCCCATGAAGTTCATAAAGGTAAATAAAGGATGCACATCAGTGTGTGATATACAATCACCGAATTTGTGAAATTTTGGAACTACTCAATTAGTTTAGCCTACGTAAGAATATCTAATTTGGTGGATTTTCACTAAAATTTCGTCTAAAAAAAATGTGTACGAGGAATATTTACGTACGTAGAAATTATTAGTTCAGTAGAAATAATACTAAGTCGTCGGTAGACGACCGTATTTATGATAAAATGAAAACTTAAATTGACCATTTCTGAATTTTACAATTATGAAAAGTTTCCGTCCTAAACCAAACAGGGTTAACTCTTACAAAAGATAATACAACGTAAGGTTTAGTAGAGTGATGGTTATTCGGGAGAAAAGACGTAATTAATAATAAAAATTACTCACTCACCCCGAACGTTATTGAAAATGTAATTTCCCCTGATATTACGTTTTACGTGAAAAACGCCTACAGAAAATATACGTATTTACAACAGCCCCTTGAGGTGCGTCACAGTCTTTTATGTGTTNAGAATCAGCCCATGCAAAGACAGTGTTAAATTGAGCGAAATGAGGAATGGCTAAAATGCATGATCTGTTTGGTATTTTGAAAAATAAAAAGTATAAATATGCCTTATATAGGTATGGTCCGACACTATATTATTCAAATATAGCATGATAGGTCCACTTTAAATTCCTCTACTGACTTATTTTAAACACAAGAAAAACCTTGAATCTGAAATAGATGCATGCAATGTAAGGAGCAGGAATAATTTAAACATCTGACAGAATTTAGTGTAGAAACGATTCTGGTAGCCTGGAGTTTCCTTATTTATTCCACAGAAACAAAAGTGATCAGTGTTTTGCGATGGCAGGTAGGACAGATGGAGGGAGAGATTAGCACGCTCGCCAAGATGTCAAGACCAGCTTCTTTCTCTTTCCATCTTCCCTTCCAGATCAGACAGGAGAGCCCGTCCTTGATGGAAATGCCAGCTTGTTTTGAAAGACGACACTTTGGTCTTCTGACATTTCAGACTATCTCCCCCTCGCCCCCCTGTGCCCCTATAGCTTCCACCTGTAGCCCACCAAAAGGTCACCCTAAAAACAGAATTTAGGTTACATTTAAGAAGGTCAACTCTATGGGTGAAAAGGCATGCAGCACTCTGTGGAGGACACACACACACACACACACACACACACACACACACACACACACACACACACACACACACACACACACACACACACACACACACACACACACACACACACACACACACACACACACACACACACACACACACACACACAAAGATTTAATCATCTGTGTGTCGAAGAGAGACTCAAAGATGCCAAGTGCGTCATTGTCCAGTTCTGCCAGGCCTCGAGGGGTGAGGACATGCAACAGAAACATATTTTTTTAGGATTAATGCTTCCACTGCCTGCTCCCTGAACCGAGTTGTTTTGAGAGCTGGTTTCAGGTGAATTGTTTCGGGGCCCAGTTCAGCCGCTAGCCAAGAAACACACAACTCAACTAAAACAGGAAGTGCTCTGGCAGGTTCTCCAAGAATCCCGAGACACACCAAACCAACTTCTTACAGTATAATGACCAGCTTAGTGAGGGAAAAAGACCCAACTTAAACTCAGATTGTCAACACAAACAAGGCTGTTTACCCCAGAAATGGTTAAGGCGGATACATAAACATTAACAACGCATTGCTGGTGAAAGAAAGTAAACAGGAGAGCCCTCGGACCGCTTCCTATCCCTGGGAGTTTGGCAGAGCAGCGTGTCGGAAATACGTAGAGACAGAAACAGGACGCAACAAATGCTCCTACTGTGGATGGACGTATCCCTGTCAAAACATCAGGCACTCACTGACACAAACTGTGGCTGTGCAAGGCTGGTTTAGACTCACAGAAAACAACAAGACCAGTCTAAATAACCAGGCCAGTGAAGAGCAAGATATTCAAATAAGCAAAGCGTAGAAGCCAAAGGACAACAGTGGCAATGGCTGAGTAGTTAACATGTGAGAAGGAAGAGTTACCACTTTGGGAGGCTAGAATTAGGTCATATCAATATTATATTGATGTTGTGGTCAGACTAGATTTTGTCTTCATTTTATCGATATCACCAAGTCTAAAGTAGAACAATATTCTTTATGTAGTAATAATAAAACTAATCCACATCAACCGAAACCTACCAAACAGCCAGCACTTATATTGAGCACATGGCAGCTAAAAAACATCCCTCACAGACATTTGACACACCCGATACACAGGAGGAGTCTTTGTTTGTGGTTTCTGATTCCAGCGCAGGCTTCGTCAGCACAGGCACCGTTTGGTAAGCCTGTGGCAACACAAAATAACAGCACGATACCAAACTGAGGGAATAAACAAACAAGGCTGTAAATCACAATCTTATCACCGCAGCATTTCGGTCTGCTTGTTTGTTGCCTGTTTTCGAAAACTTTTTCTTGACAGACAAAAACATGAACCCGTCAACCCACCAGCAGAAAGGGTGTGTCTGGCATGTGTGTGTGGGCGATGATGTGCCACATTAAATGTTAGTAGGGTTAAACAGCCATGAAATGATCATGGCTGGATAACAGCCTGACAAAATATCAGAGTAGGGGGGCTGTAAAAAGATAAAGTTGACCATAGAAAAATAAATGTATCTAACAAAATGATTTGAGCTGAAATAATCAGTCCATTAAGACAACCTGTTTGGACTATCAAAAATAGCTGATTGATTGATAGTAGGGATGCCAGTGATTATTCGTTACAGTCTCCATAATCTAATATTATTTAAAAAAAATCAATTTTATTTATATATTTTTTCGAATAATCGATTATTATTCGCCAGGGCTGCCGAATAATCGATTTTGATCATGGTCAGTTTCTGGCAACCCTAATTGATAGGGTAAATAATCATTACTTGCAGCTCTAAAAACGTTTGCTTTGTGCATGTGAAGAGCCTCTTAAAGTTATGTTGCAGACATTTCCTCCCCTGAATGTGGTCACTTCAGGCCCATCTGCACTTTGTTACTGACAGGTACTGTACATGCAGGCTAAGGTCTGCATCACAGCCCTGTCTGCGGTTTCAAAATAAACGCTGAGGTCATAATGTCAAGATCACAACTGAAACCGGATGGAACAGTTTCGTTTTTCAATTCGAAAAAACCGCTTGCAGCAACCAATGAAAACTGCCAGTCACTTAAAGTGGCACTAGTTACACTCAGGTTAGATAACCCAGCTGTTTCTGAGTGACACACACACAGAGACGGGGAGGAGGTTATGCAACCAGGCTGATGTAGGCCAGTTGATGCCTTTAGCTGACATGGCCATAACAGAGGGAGAGCTAATATAGTCACAGAGAGGCATCGATGGGCCTCTCCCTCTCTGCATGGCAGATGATAAAACTCAAAGAGAACAAACACAAGGCCTCTGTTTTTGTAAACAGAAAGAAAACACACTACAATCGGGCCATGCATTTGTTCATAAAAAAACGTTAGCTTAGATAACCATGAGTATCACCTCTCACATATAAAAAGTAATGCTAATTAAATACATATTACTGACACAGCAACACCACATCAACTGTTTGTTTCTCCAAACCGCTCGGAATGTTTCTTGGATGCAGTCATTTGATAATCAGGGATCCTTGTTATAAATATATATGAATCTATTTATCAAAAACAATATATGTCAAACAAAAATTTAACTGACGGTATTACACTGAGAAGTCTGTTTTCTCTTCAACCAACAGTCCAAAACTAAAGTAAAGAACAAATTATTGGATGAATAAAGTCAACAAATGAATCATAAATTAAAGTGTCTGTTGGTTGCAGGTTCCCCTATAATACTTTGGATTTAACTAGCTGTGATGGAGATTTAGATTTGAAATAGGTTTCCTGTCTAGGGTTTGAAGTATTCTAGAAAACTTTAATAGCCCTGTAGCCTCCGACGTCAAATTCAGAAATGAGTAATGATATATTTCACTTCCACTTTGCACAGTCATATGTTAAGGGGCCTTCCTTTGTTTAACATGATTAGAAAAAACATTGCCAAATAGCTCTAGTGCATCTTCCTGAATTATTGAGAGGCTCGTGTTCATGTCTGTTTACTGCACATTATCTGCAGTGGTGAAATGAAACCAAGTTCATTTACTGAAGTAGGCCTACTGAATACAATTTTTAGGTACTTTTATTATAGGAAATGAGTCCCACCTTTACCAGCTGCAACTTTAAATTGACTACAACACTTTTTTCTATTTAACAGAGTCATTCTTTCACTGCAGTATTGCTTGTTTTACTTTTACCAGTGGTTAAGTAAATTTACTCAAGCACTGTACTTAAGTACTATTTTGAGAGACTTTGTGCTTCTACCCACTTCAATTCAGAGGGGAAAATTGCACTTAAGTTACTTTGAAGATTTTGATTATGAATGTGAAATATAATCAACACTTAAATAAGACTTTAGTTACACATGGAGTACATTAACAAGCTACCTTACAGTAAACAAAGTCATTAAAACTATCTCTACCTTTGCCATCTCTGATAAACACATTAATGCATCAATATTTATAATCTAAACATATCATATATATTATTCTGAAATGGGCCAATCTGCATAATAAGTAGTTTTACTTTTGGTACTTTAAGTCTATTTTGATGCCAAAACTTTTAAACTTGTACTTGAGTAACCTTATGAATACACTTAAGTACAAGTTGTACTTTTAACAGAGTATTCAAGCCCTCTGGTATTTCTACTTTCACTAAAGTACAAGATCTGAGTACTTCTCCCACCTCTGGTGAAGGTACTGAGTTACATTACTGCACTGTTTATGAGCATTTATTTCCTGCTTTTGGCGAGTTAGCTAATAAACAAGTACTACTTTAGGGAAGTTTGTGAACTACATAACAAGTTAAACAAACGCCTAAGTTTGACTAAATTGCACAATTGACACAACCAACGTCTCCTGGATGTTTCTAGAAGAATATCAGCATCCTCCTACCTTTCCTCTGTGTTCAGCATGATAGCTTCGAGGAAACACGGGTCTTTCGGTCCTTTTTGACAACTAAAAATATTACTGTTCGATAAAAACTCGACAGAATAGTTCACCATTCGTAAATGAAGTAAAGCCTTGTAGAAAGTGGATGTTTCTAGCGCTGTTATGAGGGTCAGGTTAACACACCGCTCTGCTGCAGCAGCAAGTCTGCGGTCCTCGGACACGGAGGGGGTATTTATAGCCGCAGCAAGGCATCATGGGTAATCCCAGAAAGTAAACAAACTGACAAAAACGGTTTGAAAACAAATATTAAAAGCAATTACCGCAGGATATTTATGAAAATCATGTTTAATTTTAAGGAAACCGTATAATAATAATAATAATAATAATAATAATAATAATAATAGTAATAATAATAATAATGATGATGACGATAATAATAATGATAATAATAATAATAATAATAATAATAATAATAATAACAATAATAATAATAATAATAATAATAATAATAATAATAATAATAATAATAATAGATAATAATGATAATGATGATAATAATGATAATAATAATACAATTTGTTTCCAAGTGAATCATAGACAGTATTTTAAAAAACTAAAAAAATGAATAAAGACAGAAAAATACAAGTACACAGTTACTACACAGTTAATACATTGGAAAATAAAGTATACAAACAAGGCAAAAAAATACCCTGAGGTATTATGTTAACAAACAAGACTAGTTTCCAATTCTGTCAAAATGTGTATTTTTATAATTAATGTTCTCAACAAAAATTGAAATTGAAGTCACATCTACAAACAAACTTACAGAAATACACAACTCACGAGTACATTTAATCAATTACTCCACTTAAATGTATATCTGGTACTTGTATTTATTGAGTATATTCAATTTCTGCCCATGTATACTTCTTTTTAACTGCACTCCCCTGCTTTATTAAGTGTAGTTACTATGTAGTTAAAATGCTTAATATAATCAACCATTAGTAAAATAAACAATGAGGATTTTGGGATTGACCATCAAAAATATTTGAATAGTGATCTAAGCTCTCTCTCTTAAAATCAGTGATCTGCAGGATCTTCAGGAGAGAAACTTTTGCAATAAAATAAACACAGAAAGAGAAAGGAAACACAGGCATAATATAGTCTGGAAGTATTGTTGAGTCTGAAGAAATCTCTGGAGTCTGGATTTCTGGAGTTCAAAAGACCACCTGCACTGACCTCTGACCCCTCTGAAGAAAAACCCAGGTAGGGATAAAGGGGATCTAGGTAAGGAGAGAGAGAACAAGCTTCCTGGAAATGACCAAGGTGTGCCTTGCTTCGACTGAAACTGTCCCACTCTCCTTCACAGTGGTCATCCTTTGGCCCAGACTCTCAGCCAGTACCTGAACACAGACCCAGTTATGTAAGCTGGAATGGAAAAGGGCCCCTGTGCCAAACAGATTATCCGATTAGTAACAAGATAGCTGCGCAGCTACTTGATCCGGCACATCACAGCTCTGATGTTGGCGGGACATCTTGCCTGGATGAGCAGGGGACGTGGGGTCATTGCCAAGCGACAGTCACCCTGAAGCAGCTCCCTCTTCATGAGGTAACAGTAAGTGAAACCTGACGAGGAAGTCTGTGTTAGTAAATGAGAGCAGTATTGCCAAGAGTGACTTAAAGTAGGTTTAGTAAAATAACCAGCTACATTTCAGCCTCACGTGATAACCCATCTTAAGAAGGTTCTTCCTTAAACACACCAACGAGGAGACATTGACTAAGAACAGATTCAAATGACACAAGAGCACACTTACCGACATTTGAGTGTTGACCATTTTTGGCCAAAATAAAAAGATTTGATTCTGCAGTTGGAAAAAATTGGACTCGGATTGTAATGCAGATTGGCAATCAAGACTTTTCTTTGCCAGACAGCTGTGCTATTTGTTAGGCCAAGCAGTATGACAACAGACTCAGAACAACAAACATGATTTTATTTGTTTATTTGATTGTTTACTCAAATCTGAAAATGTTTTCTTCTTTCTCCCCCTCCACTAAGCAAAACTTATTTTTTGTAGTGTTTTTGTAAGTGACCGAGATTGAGCAATCCATATGTATGTCATCTTATATACATCAATCATATTATTTATTTAGGATTTTCCAGTTTTGGATACTCCTTAAAAAATCAAAAAAAATCAAAATCCTTCAAGCACAATTAGTTTAACTTCAGATTAACTAAATCACACAAAATCGACCTTGTATCCTCTAAGAATGATGGGTGTCAGTACCAAATGTAATCCATTCTGATATTTCAGTCTGGATCGAAGTTATTGACTGACTGACCGACATCCACACAATTTTAGGAATGGCAATGAAAAGAGAGTGCTGATTTTGAGAGCAAAAAGTAATTCAATCCTTAAAGGTTAAATGTGTAATAAGTCAAAATCGACTGAAGTTTAAATTAAGTTTTATATTAAATAAATGAGGTACATTATAGAAACACCACTTACTCTCCTATTATCACCTGATCAAATAAAGTCAGCTGGTCACATGAATTCATCACAAGACAGACAAACAGTTACATGTGTTACGGTTTTACTTTACAGATGTATGGCAACAGCTGCAGACTTAAAGCAATCTGAGCTGGACTTCAGGTGGAAACTGAGCATCTGAGTTTCCAGCACAGACTGTCCCTTCGCTCCCCTTGATGACCTCCAGCGTCGCAGAGTGGCCCACGAGATGCTGGCTGGAAAACATCTCTCGTGTTTCAACCTGTCATCACGATGCTGCTCAAGAAAGACACCGCTGACCTGGTATTTTGTTTTTCTCACCGGAGCTTCTCACACCAAAGACAAAAGGCATATTGTGTGAACGGCACGGGACACTCTATCTGTGCTTTGAGGATGAAATATTCAGCAGGATCTCGGTGGGGAATAGGAAAGAAAAACAGTTGCGTAAAGGGCCCATGTCATGCTTTTCTGGTTATTACCCGTCCCCTTGTGTGTTATGAAGGTTTTTCTGCATGTAAACGGTCTGCAGAGTCACAACCCCTCAAAGTACACCCTGTAGCGAGTAAAACTCTAACACAGAGAAGACCTGTCTATGCTGCCCCAGAACGCCTCGTTGGAGATTTCTCTTTTTCCATTGTTTTCTTCCTGGGTTCTGTGACGTGTGAATACCCAAATCAACAACAAATGACCGGATTGGCCCAAATGGACCAATCCACCGGAGCACCTCCCACACCAGGATCCCTTGGCTAACTAGCAGGGAGTCCCATTGACTTGCATAGAGCTCCCTGAACGCTGGTAATAGACGAGTTGGGATGGCGGAGAAATGCTCTCCGCAGACCCATTCTCACAGCGTTATAAACCTTTTTCTTACTCAATATCAAGCCACACTTATTGTTTTTACTTCGGCTGTGAGTGTTTGTGTGTGCTCAGGATGAGTTTCACTTGTTCTCGCTGTATCGCAGACCCGGAAACCTGTCCGCTCCTCGCAGCAACGAGTCTCGCAACGTCCCGACCAATCAGAGCACACTGGGCTCACAGGGAGGGGGGGGCAGGAGCTCCAACAAGCCGTTTAGGACAGAGAGTGAATACATATACTATACCGAGATGCTGGATGAGAAACCAATGTGAGTTTGGAACATTGCACAATTTAAATCTATTCTAGTAGACCTCAACAATGGAAATATGATCAGTAGAAATGGCCATGACATGGGACCCTTAAAGAGCGGCCCTCCAGATGTGGATGTTTGAAATGGGCCAGGGATGCTGTCGATTACTGCATTTTCTTGCTCAGCCTGTATGCATAGAAATGTAACTAAACAAAAAAGAAGAAAAAACACATCGCAGTTGGCGCGGGCGATTGACGAATGACCAAGATCATTTGCATTCCCCTTTGAAGGAATGTACAGGCTGTAAGGACGATTCGAACCGTTTCTAAACTTCTTATTCAACACAGTTGACAGTGACGAGCATCAAAACACATCTTATCCCTCAAAAAAAGACTTTCAAGCACTTCACTTAAGATTCCTGGTTCCAAGGAGCTCTTTGCCAAAAGGAACCTTGGATTTGTGGGCTTGATTGGCCGAAGCAGCAGGAACCAACAG